CCTCATCGACTCTCCAGACAGGTCCCAAAGCTGCCGATGCCTCATCTTTTCCAAGTGGGGAGGAGCCTTTGTCCAGGGCTCAGACTTTGATCCTCAGCTCCTCCATCCACGCTCACCTCCTTGGTGAGCTCATCTAGCCCGTGGCTCTAAGTACCAGCTACGTGCTGACAACTCCCAATCTGCTATTTCCAGCCCAGACCACTCTCACAAACTCCAGATTCTGACACCCACCTCCGCATGGACATCTCCACTGGGCCGTCTGGTAGACATCGGAAGCTGAGTGTGCCCCAGGTGAAGACCCTGACCTCCCCCCAAACAAACCTCCCACAGCCCTACCCTCATTCCATCCTTCCACTGGTTCAGGTCAACACTTTGAAGTCATCACCAACTCTTCTCTCTCACCCCCAGGGCATCAGAAAATACTGTGAGCTCTGGTTCAAAACATGCCCCCAATCCTACCACTTGTCACCACGGCCGGCTGCTTCCACCCTGGCTTGAGCAACTACCCGCTCTCACCCATCAGAGCTCCCCACTCTGACTCTTGCCCCCCCCCCCATAGCCTTTTCCCAACACAGGAGCCAGAGGGATCCTTTAAAAACCTAAATCAGACCATGGCATTGCTCTGCTCAAAACCCTCCAGTGGCTCCCCTGCTTCACTCAAAGTCAGAGTTCTCTAATGGCACAAGGTCTTTGATGGTTGTCACCTCTCCTAGACCCCTCTGCCCTAGCTCCTTCCACTCCAGCCATGGACACCAGCTCCCAGTGAGTCCTGAGCATTGATCACCTGGCAGGTTCAGTGTTGTGAGGATTCAGAGATGATGAGCTATGTCTGTGCCACCCAGAGACTTCCAGTTAGTGGAGGAGAAAGGCACACAAATAGAGCCCTACTGGCTACGTTCATCAGGCGTCTGTGACACGCCGGACACTGCCCTGAGTGGCGTGAACTCACTCCGTCTCTCCTCAACACGTCCACCACCATCAGGTACAACTATGGCCCCGCTTACAGATGAGATACGGGGCACAGAGGGGTCAAGCACCTGCCCACAGTCTCCCTGGCAGCTGAGGTGGCACCAGCATTGCCTCAAGGTCTGTCTCAGGGGCCTGCAACCCCCGCCCCCCATGCGCCATTCTGCCAGCACCACGCAGTAATGAGGCTCAGGTGCGTGAGGCTCAGGTGTGTGTTGAGGCCTGGAGCAGAGGGCACGTGGGGAGAGAGGGCGGATGGGGAAGGCTTCTGAGAGCAGAGTGCAGGGGGATGAGTTGGCACTCACCGGGCAGAGGGGGCCCGGGAGGCATTTCGAGTAGTGAGAGGGAGGGAGTCAGGGCTGAGAGGCTTTAACCAGCCTGGCCAGTCAAAGCCACCAGAAGCAGATGGGGACCAGAATGCGGGGCTCAAGAAAGACCCCGTGAAGGCCAAAGATGAAAGGGTGGGCAGGGGCCTGCTGGTGGAAGGTCTAGTAGGTCAGCCTCAGAACTTGGACTTTGTTCTGGATGTCAGTGTTTCCCAACTCTGGACATACACACAGTACAGTCCTGAGAGATGTGAAAACTGCCAATGTCTGCTACAAACAGTGGCCAATCCCGTGGGAGGTAATGAGCACCCCTAGTGCCAAACTGTAGTCTCTAAGTACCATTGCCCAGTAAAAGGAACCAGGGCTTCTTGGAGAAATGACAAACTCTAGGTGGAGGGCAGGAAACAAACAAGATGAGCCCGGAACACTGCATCACACCAGACAGCAAGGAGGCTGCCAATGACCACTGGGGTCCTCTCAAGGGCCCAAAAGCCAACCTGAAGGGCTCCACAGACCAACAATGAAACCATGGAGCACCAATGTATCAAAATGCCCCATGTTTATCATTGGAGGATGCTAGTGAACCAATTTGGTACTTTGAAAACATAGACATGGGGAAAGAATCAAGCAATTCCTATATGAACTTTACCATTTGGTGACCAAACAGTAATAGAAAGGAAGTGTTTCCCAGTTAGCAAATGAAGAAGGAATGACAGAATGTCGCCATGTCACAACCCCTAATTAATCAATAGATTTGGGTATTGAATATCAATGGCTGCTGCCATCTCAAAAAGACAGACACCAAATATTATAAGTCCCCTAGCAGGGACTTCCCTGGTGGCACAGTGGTTAAGAATCTATCTTCCAATGCAGGGGACACGGGTTGGATCCCTGGTCTGGGAACTAAGATCCCACATGCGGCGGGGCAACAAAGCCCGCGTGCCGCAACTAGAGAGAAGCCAGCGCACCGCAACGAGGAGCCCACACGCCACAATGAAGGATCCTGTGTGCCGCGGCTAAGACCCGACACAGCCAGAAATAAAATAAATAAATATATTTTAAAAAAAGTCCCCTAGCAGAAGAGCCTGAAACCACTTATGAAGTCAGTCCCCTACCACCACCAGATTGAGCAATTTACAAGAAATACAGAGGAACTTATTTAACGACACATGGGGGTGAGAACACAACATTCAGACTATGGGACACTCTTGGAGATGATTATAAACTGTTAAGACATGCATTTACAAAAAGCATGAGAAAATCAGAAATTTGAACACTGATGATATTTGATTATTAACACTGATTATGTGATGATAGTAACAAATTATTTTTTTTAGCTGTAATAATGGTATTGTGGTTTTTTGGTTGAAGAGCCCTCATCACTTAGATATACATGCTGACATGTTCACAGATAAAATGAATAAGTGAGATCAGCTGCAAAATGCGCCGGAGGGGAGGATGTGGGTGAAACAAGGTTGGCCTTGAATCCATAATTGTTGAAGCAGGGTGCATGGGGGTTCATTATGCTATTCTGTAGACTTTTACTTTTTATAGTTTGAAATTTTCCATAATAAAAAGTTATGACAATACCAGGCCCCATCCCCAGAGCCTGAAATTAATGAGTCTGGGCTTCAGCTCAGGCATTGGTATCTTTTTTAAGTCTCCCCAGGTGTTTCTACTGCTCAGCTGAGGTTGAGATCTATGGTAATCACTTGTGTGCGTCATGCGAGAGCCTGCATGGAGACAAGGAGAGAGGTTGTAGAGGGAAGGGAACTGGGCTAGGAGAAGTCAGGAGCCAGGCACATGGTCCTTGATCCGGCTGGGTGAGGAATGACGAGAGGGAGGGGTCAAGAACAATGCAAAGATTTCGGGGGTGGGTGATGGAGGGGTGCTGGTCACTGGAATAGGGAACATGTCAGGGCTGGTAGCCGTGGGGAGCTGGGGGAGGGTGCTGAGTTTGTTAAGGATGTGTTGACTTCAAGGGGCCCATGTGACTTCTGGTGGAGAAGTTCAGGGCACAGTTCGGCCAGTGGGTCTAGAGATCCACCTTGAGACCCTAAAGCAGACACAGAAAGTTGGGCCCCATAGGGCTGTCCCCCACACCAAGCCAGAGGTCAGGATGGCTGCAGCCAATGATGGCATTAGGGCCTCTAGGAAACAACAGCACCTTGGCCCCCTGCCTTGGAAAGGGGGGGGCCCAAATGACCCCATTCCTTTCACGACTGACCGTGATTCATCTTTCACCTCCCGACTCCTTGTCCACCTTCCTTGGACAGACACCTAAAGGGCAGTAGGCTAGGCTGAGGTGCCCTGTCCTCCCAAGCAAGTGTTGAGGAACTCCTGTGTGTTCCTACGTCCTGTCCTAAAAGCCCACACAGATCAATCAGCATTTGTTTTTTGTTATTTTTTTTAAATTGAAGTATAGACAATTTACGTTTCAGGTGTCTAGCAAAATGATTCAGTTATAGATATGCACACATATATATTCTTTTTCAGATTCTTTTCCATTATAGGTTATTACAAGATATTAAATATAGTTCCCTGTGCTGTACAGAAGGTCCTTGTTGTTTACCTGTTTTATATATAGTACTCTGTATCTGTTAATCCCAAATTCCCAATTTATCCCTTCCCCTCCCTTTCCCCCTCGGTAACCTTAAGTTTGTTTTCTATGTCTGCAAGTCATTTTTCTTTTGTAAATAAGTTCATTTGCATTATTATTATTGTTATTTTTTGCATTACGCGGGCCTCTCACTGCTGTGGCCTCTCCCGCCGCGGAGCACAGGCTCCGGACGCGCAGGCTCAGTGGCCACGGCTCACGGGCCCAGCCGCTCCGCGGCATGTGGGATCCTCCCGGACTGGGGCACAAACCCGTGTCCCCTGCATCGGCAGGTGGACTCTCAACCACTGCGCCACCAGGGAAGCCCTGTATTATTTTTTTACATTCCACACATGATATTTATCTTTCTCTGCCTTACTTCACTTAGTATGATCATCTCTAGGTCCATCCATGTTGCTGCAAATGGCACGATTTCATTCTTTTTTTATGGGTGAGTAATATAGCATTTGTTAAACAAATGAACGACCAGTACATCTGAAGGAAGTCCCCGTGGTGTCAGTCACAGCTGTGTATGCCAGCAGCCAGCGCAGCCAGCAGCTGTCAGATTGCCTTGAAATGGCCAGCACATGTTCCTCCCACAAACATTTACTGAATGCCTGTATGGGCTGGGCACAATGCCAGGCAGAGGTGAACTGGAAGCCCAGGTCCCTGGCCTCAGGGAGCTTGCATTCTAGTGGGGAAGCAGACAGTAAAGAAGCACACAAAGAAACACAAGCTTTGGAATTTTAGAAAACGGGTTCTCAGCTGGAAGAAGGGGCCTGGGAATCCAACACCTTGGGGTGTTGGGAAAACCACCCAACTTCCTAGGTACTACTGCACAATAACCCAGGCTCCCAGAATCAGAGAACTGACAGAACCTCGTGTTAAAGCAGCAGCAACCGAGGCCCAGAGTGGTAGGTGGCCCCCCAGGGTCATGCAGCAGGTGATGACCTGGAGACAAGTCTGCATTCTCAAAGTCTGCACTGGCAGTTTCTTAAGCAACAAGTTGATTCTGTATCCACGTAAGCCACGTGGTCTATCTTTTCCTTTGGACAAAAACGATCGCTGATCACAAAGGACCACGGGCTCTTCCCCCCAGCGAAGGGACTTACCACTGAGTCCAGGAACTGAATGTAAGACTCCAGCCCAGGTCTGGTTTCGCAGAACTGCCGGAAAAGCAGCCTCCCAATTGGCTGCTTGTCACATAAACTGCAGTAATCTCTCTCTAGAGGTAAGAAAAGAAGAATATGGTGAGACCCACAAAGGGCCAGACAGAGCCATCAACCCACACCTGGGTTCTTGCCTCAGCTAGATGGAGCAAGGTGACTGGCAAACTCTCAGGACCCTTTATCCACCTCCAGACTCTGCAGACTCAGAAGAGTCAAGGTCAGTGTAGAAAGAGGGGCCAGTTATGACCTTGCCTCTACTCCCCAGCCCACTCCCTTTCCAGTGTCCTGATTTCTGTACGGAAATGCTAGCAGCTCTGGGGACTAAGGCTCTGCCCCTGACTGCCTGATCCGCATGTCACATTCCGTGGTTACAGGGACTGGATAAGGGTGGTGGGCATGTAACCCAAGCCAGTAAAATCAGCACGAACCACAGACGTCGCCTGGGCGACACTAAGCCAAGGTGCTCCCTCTTCCTCTGGTACTGGGGTGCATGGGTGTGAGGCCAGGGTCTGCTGCAGTGTTCTTGATACTGCACAACAAGCTGCTGTGCGGATAAGGTTGACATACAGAGGAAGTCAGAGCTGGGAAAATTATGAGTAGGTGCTCTGGTGAAGTTATGAATCTCTGGATCACACTATGCCTGCAGCCCAAACCACATCTGAAAAGGTTATTTATGAGCATTATTTAGGGCAATTTGAACAAACTTTAAAATGACTTGTAATTCAAATATTCTAATGAATACAGTAAACAAAATTTCATATTTGCCCAATTGGAGCAAAGCCCAGTCTTAGAATGCTTCAAACTATGAAAACCCTGTATTTTCCAGCTGAGGAGCTAGAGGCACAGAGACAGGATGTGACCAGACCTCAGCCACTCAGTAGCCAAGAGAGTTCTGAAGAGGAAATAACAGTGCAAGACTCAAAGCACAGAGGCCTAGAGACCAGGGTTCTAGCCAATGACTTGCTGTGTGACTTCAAGCAACACACTTGCCCTCTCTGGGCCTTACGCTTCCTCTCGATAATGAAGATGCATGTTGGAGGTAAGATGGGAGGGTCCCTTCTGGTTCTTCCTGCAATGACTCTGCAAGAGGCTTTCTCTGGGCAGAAAGATGCTCAAAGGTCTGGCTGAGACTTGTTGCCTCAGACCCTCCAAAGCACTGAAAATTAGCCCTTTGATTTTGTGGCTGCACCAGGAAAACTCAGGTGACTTCATGGGGAAACCAGGAAGAGGGTGAGGTAGACCTCGGTTAGAAGAACTACCTGGGAGGATGGAATGACTGTATCCTTGCCAAGTGTAGAGGAGGGGCCAGGAACCGCCCCCTGGAGATATGGAACACAACAAGGAGACAGGAACAGAACCATCACGCCCACTCATTTTCATACCCAAAGAGTTTATCCACAGAGGTACAGCCATTACTTGTAGGGAGGGTGGTGGCTGTGAGCAAGGGCTCTGGAGCTAAACCTAGGTTCAGATCCCAGCCTCACTACTCACTGCCTGTGTGCCCCAGGGCAACTGACCTGACACATTATCCCTCAGTTTCCTCATCTGTAAACTGGGAACAGTCATCGTACTATCTCTTAGGAGCAGTGAGAGCCTGGCACAAAGGAATTGCTTAATAAACACCATCTGTTATCATCGTGGAAGTGGGGGTTTTGGTCTGTTCCATCTCCCTTCCTTTGGGGAACCTCCTCTCTGTGAGTCTGTAAAATACCATCATAGGGTCCTAAGGGAGCAACTCCTCCCAAGCCCCAGGGATGGGCATGCGACTCAGTCCTGGCCAATCAGAGCCCTCTGTTTCATGGCCACAGTGATCGGTTCAGGGCATGTGACCCAGGGGGCCTCGGAGGCCATCCAGGGTTTTTGGTAGAACTTCCAGAAAAGACACTTGTTCCTCTGTGGGATGACAAGGCCTTAGGACTGGTCAGCCAAGAGTTGCCACGACTGTCTTTCCCACCAGTGAGAGCCCATGGAGGATGAAGCCAGTGCAAGGGAAGGACAGCTGAGTGAGGAAGAGAAGCCTGGAGCTGTGAATATCACAGGAGTCCCCGAAAGGCAGCCTACTGAGGCCCGCCCAGCGCCTGCACCTTTAGCCATCTGTCTTTGCTTAAGCCAGTCAGTGCTGGGTTTTTGTCTCTTGCAACTGAAAGAACAACTGACTGGGGCTGGAGAGTTTTATAGCCCATTTCTCCTTTCATGGGTAAACTGCTTGAGGGCAAGGATGGTTTTTGTAGGAATCCACCAGTTCTAAGTACACCTTGTATCAGAAGGCACTCACAAATTTCTCATTCTCTCTCTCTTTTTTTTTTTTTTTTTTTTTTTTTTTGCTGTCCGCGGGCCTCTCACTGCTGCGGCCTCTCCCGCTGCGGAGCACAGGCTCTGGACGCGCAGGCCCAGCGGCCATGGCTCACGGGCCCAGCCACTCCGCGGCATGCGGGATCCTCCCGGACCGGGGCACGAACCCGCGTCCCCTGCATCGGCAGGCGGACTCTCAACCACTGCGCCACCAGGGAAGCCCTCATTCTCTCTTGAGAGGATACTTTGGTCAAGTGGATGAGCCACCTTGCAAGTCTCCCCTTGGCCCCCTCCTCAACTGGTTTGGGGGCTGAAACTAGCCTTGAACTATTACCTTAACTCAGCTTACCTTTCCATGCACAGATGGTTCGGGAATAGCCACTCCAACAAACATTTAACTCACCTCATCGTGTGCCAGGATTGGTGGGGGTCGGGAGTGGGGGGAATGGGACATGGTCCCAGCCCTCAGCGATCTTGGATTCTGTTGGAAAGGGGGTGTGTGTGGGGGGGGTGAGCAGACAAGATCCCAAGTGACAGTAATAAAATGTCAAGTTATCATCAGCCACAGGAGGGAGTCTGGGTTGGAGGGAGCCAGAAGGGTGACAGGTCTGGAGTCCGCACCTGTTAGCACAATGCTCTACAGACACAGCCTGCGTTGTCACCACCTCCCACTCAGCCTGATCCCCCAAGGAGAGGAAAACAAACTTCCCTGTCCTTCCCCAGTCAGCTGAGCTTCCCCAGCACAAACACAGAACAAAGGAAATTACCTTGTGTGAAACTCCCGTTTTATTCAATTATGGCAGAGAGCACCACATTGCTTATGTGATTTGAGCAAGGGGCCCTCCCCCATTTCCAAAAGCAATTATGAGATTTCATGTACCATATTGTGATTCCTCAAGGGTTCATCTGACAGCATTTTTTCTCTCCATATGGCGTGTGCTGTCAGTATGGAAACAAAGCCGTTATAAACTCACAGCACAGTAAACACCATGTGATTCCAACACAAGCTGTCAGCACCTCAGTTCCGTGCCTCTCCCAGCTGTACAGAGGATCCCAGGCAAGAAAGCCATGCGTTGGAAGCCCAGGAAGAAAGAAGAGGATCAGTAATCATCTATTTGGATGTTTTCTCAGCTTTAAATAAAGATAAATGGGCTTATCCTCTGAGGAAGCACCACCACCGCTAAAAATCAAAGTGCAAAGTCTGCAATTCCTTTAGAAATGGAGAACGAGGCCACAGAAGGAAGAAATGTGAATTTGGGATTTGATCAAGGTGACAGGAAAAGGCGCAGATCAAAGTTCTTAATGCGTCAAGGGCAAGTCCGAGGGGCAGGTCACTTCGGGAAAGTCAGAGGACACTGAAATTGAAAGCACAAGTTGCTCTGTAATACATCTTCAGAGCAGATCCTTTCTAGTCGGTTTCTAAGGAAGCCAGCCATGCTGTAGAAATACAGCTTGGAAGTGCCCTGCCCACAGCCCTTCTCCCAAGGGTGTCCTGTTTGGGTTAGTGGGGAGGAGTACCCAGCACAGAGGGGCAGGGCTCTTCCTGTCTCTGAATCTCTCTCTCAGGCTGGAAGGCCCCCGGGATGCTGTGTACACAGGCACACATGCATGGTCTACACACAAACATACACACCAGCTCTTCTGAATGTGAAAATCCTGCTTCTGGCCACGTCCTTCATTGATCTTTCCTTCCAAGCCAGAAAGAGTCTATCGTTATGTAAGATATGAGGGGCATCAGGCTCCCTGCCCCCAAAGTATTCACCAATCATCAAATCATTCTAGCCTTATTCTTTTGGATCCTTCATTCATTCAACAATCTCTGTTCCAAGGTCTCTTGCTTTTTGATACTAGAAGGTTCCTTCAATTTTCAGACTCTCTTATTGAATTGAACACCTGGGGGGGGGGTTGTGGATGAGTGGGGGGGAGGAGACACACCTCATACCCATTGGCAGGTTAATGATCCAGAAACAGGCTTGGAGTTAACAGCTGGCGGTCAGCTGAGACCAAGAATAGGGGTGTGGTCTTTGTGATGTGACATTTGACCTCGGCTGCAGTAACACTGGTCTGGTGCACACAAAACTGAAGCATGTCCAGAGGAAGGTGATGGAAAAGGGGGTCCAGAAAGCCCATTATAAGCTCTGAACTTATAGTGCCCTGGATCAAGGGGCAGGCTGCCCCAGGGAGGGCTAGGGCCCACCAGCACCCAGGAGGATGGGGGGCAGATGTGCTGGAGAGGCAGATGGGCTCAGACAGGAAAGGGCTGGACTCCAAGGCCAAGGAGACTGGAATGGATTCACTGTCCCACTGGGGCATCAATGATTTTAGAGCACAAATGATTCAAGTGCAGTGCATGGGAAGGTGGACAAAAATGGGGTGGGAGCCACGAGCCTGAGACATTTACGGAGGAGGTCACTGGTTTGTGAGCCATTCCCACCTGTGATTCAAGCCCTGGCCTTTGGGCAGGGAGGGCGCAGCCCCTGTGGTTGTGATCCTGCTTTGGTGAGAAGCCGAACTGAATTGGCTTTAAGGAAACCACATGTCATTTGCTTCTTCGAGGGCTTGACGCCTCCCAAGCACGCCCACGGCTGGCCCAGGAAGACAGGACTGCCACTCCTTCCCGCAGCACACCGAACTCCTGCCATACCTCAGACAGAACCAACGTTCCCTTAGCAAGTTCACAGACACTGGCTGAGCCCCTTCTGGGCACTTCATTCCAGGCCCTGTCGCAGGGGGGTGGGGGGGGCACCCCTTAAAGGAGACAGGC